TCTGGCTATTCCTTTCTCTCCCCCCTCAAGTGTCTATTTTACAATGGTAGGCAAGAGAAACCAAGATTCAAAAGACAGTCAAGTATCTAAACATTATTTCCCCTCTTTTACCCATTCAAACTATGTCTCAATCCCTGTATCCAGAGCCCTGTTGTTTCAAGGTTGTAGCAGCCCAACTCTTAACCCACTCTACTATCAGGACTCCATATGTGTTGAATATGTCCCCTTAAAATTTATGTTGAAATGCAATCCCTGGTATCTATGAATGTGACCTTATTTGGAAATAACAGTTATTACAGATGCTCTTAGTTAATATAAGGAGCTCTGGTAGCATAGTGGTTATGAATCAGCCTGTGAACCTCAAGGTCAGCAGTTCAAAACTACCACCTATCCCACGGGAGAAAGACGAGGCTTTCTGCTCCTGTAAAGATTTACAGCCTTGGAAACCCTGTACAGGGTCGCTATGGGTCGGAACTGACTCCACGGCACATAACCACCACCACCACCATTAGTTAATATGTTGTTGTTAGGTACTATCTTCCTAACTCCTAACAACCTTATGCACAACATAATTCAATATGACTGCTGTTTTCATAAAACGAGAAGTGGCATAGGGAGTAGATATAGGCACAGAAGAAAGATGGCCATGTGAAGATGGAGGCAGAGATTGGAGTTACGCCACAAGGCAAGGAAAGCTTGGGGCTACCAGAAGCTTGGAGAGACAAGGAAGGATCTTCTTGTTGAGCCTGTAGAGAGATCATGGACTGTTGGCACCTTTATATCAAACTTCTGCTTTCTGGAACTTTAAGGGAATAAGGGCTTGCTGTTTTAAACCACCAACTTGTGGTTCTTTGCAAAGGCAGTCCCAGGAAAATCATTGGGTCCTTTCCCCCTTTCAAGGTCTGGATACACGTTGACCTGTACAGACCACACAGGGGGGTTGTACCAGAAAGCAGTGAACTTAAGCAAGTTCAGACATTCTTCTTGCAAACCTGCCTCTAATCAGAACATAGAAATTGTATAATTAGGCAGGTTCTAATTCAGGAATTGGTCAAGAGCCTATGTAGTGATCAAGTTTGGATGCTATTTGACTATGGCATTCTGGCATTGTTTTGTAAATAAATGTTGGATTGCTTTAATTAACTTCAAACTGAAACAATAGCACTAAGAGTCCACTATTTGATGGTCTCAATATACAGTCTGATATATGCTGGATGCTACCATATATGTAGCCAGAAGTTGCCAAAATGGGTTTGGCTAGACAAGGAAAGTCGGCAATGTGGCAGATGAGCAGTGAGTACTGCTTTCACGTGGGGGTGGGAACCAGACTGTGAACTAACAGAAAGGGGTCACTGTAGTCCTGCACTGCAGGGAAACTTTGACAACCCTTTCGTGTTCAGTGACTTTTGTAGCTGAGCAAGGCAGTGACAGAAATGATCCAGATCTCAAAACAGCTCCTGGGCCAGTCCAGAAATGATCCAGCTCTTGAAACAGCTTCCCTCCTCCTAGCCCATAAGGAAGCCTGGGTTGATCCCTCATTCCTCATGTGTTCTTGTGCAGCTCGTGAGAACTTGCATCGTCAAACCCATTTTGCCAACTTATTTAGTTCTGTAGCAATAGCCTCCTCACGTATCCATTGGAGAACATCACAGTTAACTGACAAAGTCCACAGTTTTTCCCGTACAAAGTGACTGGAGTGGCTTCTTCTTCAACTCCTTCCTGCTAGCTCATTGTGCTTTGCAGAGATGATTTTCTAGAGCAGCACTGCCCAGCAGGGTTCAATCCACGTGAGTGAATGGAACATTTGACATGAAGCTAGTGAGACTGAGGAAATGAATTTTCATTGAATATAATTTCAAGTAATTTAAATAAACAGGTGATGACTATTGTGTTCAACAACACATTTCATTGTATTGCTCTTTGTGTTCATTTATTTTTTGGCTAAGTATTATGGAATATTTTCTATGTGCCAGGAACTCTACATGAAATTTCATGTATATGCATCCAATTTTCACAAAAGTTGATGAGGCAGATTATATTAGTAACATTTTCCAGTGCTGGAGGTTGACTCTCAGAGAAATTACATTGTTGCTGTTAAGTGATGTCGAGTCGATTCAGACCCATAGCGACCCTGTATAGGGTTTCCAAGGAGCAGTTGGTGAGCCTAAACCACTGACTTTGCAGTTCAAACAACTTTGTCACACCAGTAGCCAGTCTCAAATCACAAAGATAAGACTCAGGATTTAAAGTAAAGTCTACCAGGCTCCAATGTTGTGTTTCTTGTATAGAAACAAAACAGTTGCTGGTGAATGAATTCCAACTCATGTTAACTCCATGTATGTTAGTAGAACCATGCTGCATAGGATTTTCAGTGGTTGATTGTTCAGAAGTAGATAGCCAGGTCTTTCCTGTGAGGTGCTTATGGATGATTTCAAACCACCAACATTTTGATTAATCAAGTGCTTAACTGTTTGCATCATCTAAAGATGACTCTGGTACTAACAAGTGAGGCTAAATCTGTAGGAATGAAGGTTGAGTGAAAAATGAAGACAAGACAATTAAAATAAAAAATGGGTTCTTTCATTTTATTGCTTGTTGCAAACACTTTGGTCATAGTAAATACATTAGTTTTTAAATAACCATATTCCAAAGTTTTCACATCATCTACTATTCAACCTCCCCCCTGCCACACACAGAAACATCATCCATTAAAACATTCAGTGAACTCCCAAAGTCTATACTGATAATGTGCATACTCATGCTATTGTGAAATTAAATACACATAGTAAAAATACTCATCTATTGTAAGTCTATGGATTTGTGATCTGCCTTCCTTAAGGGACACCATAAACAATTCAAAGAAGAGAGATAGAGTGGTAATGTTTACAGAATATTAGAGGCACACAATAAACATTTACTGACAGTAAAGATGATGAGAATTCAATTACCACTGGTCCTTTCATCTCCATTTTTCTTAAGGAATATATGGTTCATTTGTAACTCACACCCTGAAATTCACAGTCTCCTGATACCTTGAATTATACAGCTGCAGTGTAACTGGGTCTGAGCACATGTACAGAAGAGAAATAAATTTAAAGTCCATGTCTAATTCAAATTGTGCTAAAATCCTCATATAAGTTAGGAAGACCTAGAATAGGCTGGAATTCTCCAGCGATTTGTGTCTTCATAACTAGGGCAATGATCAGTGTCTAGAAATTTAAAAACACTCAAAACAACTTCAGACCTCACTAGCAGTTAAGAGTATATTTCAGTCACATCAATGTATTTTAAGTGTAGTGATTGAAAATCATATGTTGCTTGTATTAGCTAGTAAATTTCTAACTGAAAATATGGGAACTATAATTTAAACTTGAAGATTTTTTTCATTGTTTTGATTAATAAAATTCTTAGAATCATTTGGGGAATTTCATTGAATTAAGGTAATGATATTGATGGAAACATTTTATAAAATGACCCCAAGATGCTTTATTTCTAATATTTGCTCAATAGAAATATTTTAAATACATAAAAGGACCAAAATAAAAATATGAAATTTACGATCACTTGCAGCAAAACATGGCACATTAGAATTATTTATTAAAGCTTTTATACATAAGGTAAGCACTTCATAAAACCTGCATATTGGTCAAATATAACTTTTTGATGTCAATATCTTAACTTTGCCATTAATTATATAATTTTCCTAAAATTATCAAAATTTTAGAAGAAATAAAAATGTGTCAAAATTACATTTGAATGGAATTCTACATTAGGGGTCTGGTCCCCCAAACTTCTTTTCCCTTTTATTTATTTATTTTTTTGGTAAGCCTATTGTATATTTTCGTGGTCAAGTTCTAAGATTTTTACTCCCTGATATAAACTGCAGTGACAAAATTTGACTTCTTATCTTTGGCTTTCAAAGTGATGTATTTGTTGCCTGTGGGAATGGATATATATATATTTCACAGTTGGAATAACCTTTGTCATAATCCTCTAACTAGAGCTAGATGATTTTTAGATGGCAGTAGCTAGAATTGACAAATTCTTGGCTTCAAGCAGCTGTTGAGTTCCTGTGATCCTATTTTAACTCTCAAAATAAATGGACTGGACTCAACTGTATCTGTACTTTCATTCTTAGAAGCAAAGCGATTCTCTCTATAACTACCTAAAACATGAACTTTAGGGTTCCAGTGAACCCATCTACCATTTGATTTAGGTGTCCCACCTAGAGCATTTATTTCTCTACCAGGTTCTATTTGTTCATCCACGTTCTCTTTGAAAAGTCCTGGAGACAGGGAGCATCTAGTCAATAAGAAAGATAACAATTGTTTCTTAGACTGAACCAAACACGCTCCCTGTAACATTCCATCCAGTGTCTCAAACAGTGCAGCGAAGGCTTTCACACACTCAGTATGCATTTATTAATGAGTGAAATATTGCTCACTTCTCATTCTAACTTTAAAAGTTATATAGAATGAAATTGTTTCCATAAGCCCAGCCATTTTCCTGTCCTACATACATCTTCTCTTTTCCAGGATCAATGTTGCTATTTTCTTTTTCCTATTCCTCAAACAACACGATTTGTCTCTTTTATCAATCTCATCACTATTATTTGAATGTGCTTAAATCAATCAGTAAATATCCTATAAGTTGGTACATCCTTAGACCCAAGCATAATACTCCAGATGGAGTCAGCAATTTGCTGGGTAGTGGTATTAAATTACTGTCCAGTAAGTTCCAATTTATGGCAACCTTGTATATAACAGAATGAAATGCTGCCTGGTCCTGAGTCATCTTCATGATAGCCGGTACGTTGGAGTCCATTGGACTCAAACAATGCACTCAAACTGAGCAAGTTAGCCTGGACCTTCCACCTGAAATATTGTCAAACTCTAAAAAGCTATTCCTTAGAGCAATCGTTCACCATGTGTTTCTAAGTAGAGGCATTTTTGTTCTGGGCAAGATCACCAACAGACATGAATTCTGCTTTAGGGGTAGGATTATTTCCTTGTATTTCCAGGATAAGGAGGAGGTGGTGATCGCTGTGCTGAAGCCTGTGGTGTTGGGGAGTATGGTGGAGGCAAGTCTGCAGAGTATTCCATCTCATGGTCATAGCTATAGGGTGGTGGTGTTACTGAAAAACAAAAGGAAAACAGCATCAGACATGTAGCAAATATTTCAGTGTCTACTGTTTTCAGCTATTGGCTAGGTTATTTGGGAGGGGGAAGGATTTTTGCCTGCCCCCTCAATGCTTAGTTTTATCAGGTTAATGATGTGCATGTATGAAAGGGTGAGTGCTATAAAATGTGCAGTGGGCCAAAATATATAGAATTGGTGGCTTAGGGAAAGTTTCTTGAGAATATGATGCTGAAGGGGTAGACAGAGATGGGGCTAAGGGGAAATTCAACTTTGAGGAAAAGCTCAGAAGCAGAGGGCACTAAAGTGTAAAGAAAATATACACAAAGAGGAGAAAAGACATTAAGGAGTCTTGTGTCACCATCACGGTAGGCTTTGATGGTGACATGAGTGTGTGGTGCAGCATTACCTGGGGTGTTTGATATGATAGAGACAAGGCTAGTACTGTACTTTGGGAAGATGACCCTCAGCAACACAGAAAAGGGTTGAACAAAAGGTGAGATGATGTAATAGCATATCTGAGGGATTATAAGGTCCACAATGAGAGCACTAGTGGCTGATGGCTCAGTGGTGGAATTCCTGCCTTCCATATGCTCCTTAGAAGTGAGGATGTTAAGAGTTCATCTCATGTATTTATCAGAGGGACCAGTCCCTGGACACTATGGTTGGTAAAATACAGGGTTAACAATGAAGAGAAGACCCTCAACTTGATGGAGTGACACAGGGACTACAACAATGGATTCAAACATAGCAATGATTGTGAGGATGCACCAGAATTGGGCAGTGTTTTGTCCTGTTGTGATTAGGGTTAGTATGAATAGGAACCAACTCCATGGCACCTAACTACAACAATATGACAGATTTGATTCCTGACTTATGTTCCTCATGCATTGTCGGTCAGTGGAAGCCTACATGTTGATGTGACACTAAACAGGTTTTAACAGAGCTTTCGAGACTTAGGAAGAAAAGTCCTGGTGAGTTACTTCTTAAAATAGCCAATGAATCATAACGATCTGATCTGCAACGTCTCCTGGGGATCATGACTCAGGACTAGGGAGCTTTCTGTTCTTTTGTGCAGGAGGTCACTTCCAAGGTAGCTAACAACAACAAAGTGGCAGAGAGACAAAAACTAAACCAACCAAAAATCAAAACAAGTGCTTATGTTACAACTGCATATGTGGGAGGTGAAAGAAGATGTTGAGGTATTGGGCTTCCATGAAGGGGAGGGCGGTAGTGCCAGTACAGAATTAAGGAAACAGGTTTGGGAATGAAGGTAATGAGGTTAATTTCCCAAATCTGAATTGGATAATATTCTTAATTTTTTATTGTTATATATATTGGTGTGTTTTTAAAGCACATTTAATACACTGTGTTATTACTATGTGTAGATATCTATTCTGCAGTGATCTCAATCCTACCTCCAGGGTTGGTTTTGAAGTACTCCTTGGGATATAATTTATCCACTATTTCAAAAGTCAAATCATTCTGCAACATCTCAGCAGCCCTTCAGAAGCCCCACAGCACAGCCACAGTGCTGATGAATCCCTAGTAGTTGAAGGCTCATTAAGATTTTGATTCTACTTGGAAAACTGACAAGCCTTAATTGTTTGCTGTAAGTGTAGCTTTCATCACAAGACAGTGAAAAAAGAAAACACAAAAAGAGTTGCTGCTGAGTCAATTCGACTCCTCCTGCTACCTACCCCACCCCATGCATGTCAGAGTAGAACTCTGCTTCATGTTATTTTCAGTGGTTGACTTTTTGGAAGTACATTACCACATCTTTGTTTAGACTTGTCTCTGGCTGGACTAAAACTTGCAATCTTTCAGTTAGCAGCCAAGTGTTTTAATCATTAGTACCACTACGGGATGAGGCTAGACTCCAATCATAAGACTAGAGTTATAATAACATAAATAAATGACCAGACTTTAAACATCAGAATGGAAGAAAAAAAGAAAAACAAAAAACAAAAAACAAGAAACATTTTAACGAATGTACTTTTAAATGTGCTCTGAACTGTGCTCTTACCAATGCAGTTACGATTAATTTCTGAGAAACATGCACATATGAGCACAGAGTCTCTCACTCTGTATGCAGATATTAATTATGTTTGCTCCTGGATCCCTTGCCTTTCTTGACCAAGATCTAAATGCTTTGGAGCACTGATTGCTATTCCTGTCTGCAGAAGATGTGAAGGAAATGAATTGAGTAACTCCAGCAAAGAGGAATATGCAGTACAAAATTGGCTGGGCTGTCTCTCAGCACTGCTCTGGTGAACAAAAGTTTCAGAATGGCTGCAGCCTTGAAACTCTATAGAGTTGTTCTACACACCAGTGAGAATTGGCCGCATGTTAACGAACAGGACTTAGGCTTTGTAAATCTCCAAGTGGGTTCAGCAGGCTCATAGAACAACAATGTATACATAGCTTCTCCATATTCCTTCAGAATGCCTCCCTGAGCTCCAGTTTTCTACAACAAAGAGAAACAACGCCTACGGAGTTGAAACATACATGCTTTCTGCAGTACACTCATTCCTTGGCTTCATCAAGCCTAGGAGGATAAAAACAGATTTATAATACACTTCAAGATTTATAATACAATCCAAGAAATACAACCCTGTAGCTTCCAGGTAAAATAGGAAGTTACGGATGGATACCTATTTAACTGCTTCTTACAAGCACATGGTTCTACCTTGTTTTTACATTGAAACATTTCCCTGGCTGTCACTTGAGGAGTATATACCAACTGACTGGACGTTATTCTCTGCCATGAAGCTATAATGTATATTTATGCATCAGTGACAAAGCATTTGTATTTTGCCATCTGCATAAAAACTGCTGGAGCATAATTCAGTGAGAATCCCTGTGGTTTATTCAACTGCATGTTGAACATGAAAATCTAAGATATAAAACAGTGTTCTTTCGTCCATTTAACTCTTGAATTGTGTTTGATAAAGTGATAATATAATTCTGAAGATTGGTATTTTGAGGCTGACTCATCATGAAATAAACATGGAGTATCTTTAATAATATTAGTCAATAGAAGGCATTTTCAAATAATACTGTACTCTCTTTTTTTTTTCCATTGCTGATAATAAACTTAAAACCAACCAACCAACCAACCAACCAAACAAACAAACAAAAACTTTCTAAGGTATCAGTTTTAGAATCCTACGAAGTTTTGTTCTTTTTCACATAACAAATTATCTTTAAGAATGTATACATGAAACTGGAGCAGCGATGCCTTTGAAATTCTTTCATAATGAGACATTTTTAGTTAGATAGAATATCTATTTATCTTTAACACTGGGTTATTAAAGGAGTCCCTGCGTGATGCAACCAGTTAAGTGCTCTGCTGCAACCCAAAAGTTTAGAGGTTTGAACTGATCCAGCAATAAATACCATAGTAGAAAAGGGCCGGCAATCTATTTTTTTTTTTTTTTTAACTATCAATCACTGAAAACCCTATGGAGTCCAACTCTACACTGATACATAGGGATTGCTATCAACTCATGGCAAGTTTTTTTGTTTGTTTGTTTGCAATATTACAAAGATTGAGGTTTCTATCCATTTTTGAGATGGAATTTTGTATTTTTAGCCTACTTAGGCCAATATCTACAAAGTGAATGTGGGATGAAGATTTTCATGGTGTCACAGAAACAATTCAGCATTTTTGAAAAACTGTAAACAGGAAAATAATATTTTTATATAGTACGCAATATCTTATATACAAATATAATACATTCAAATAATAATGAATATATGTTAACCTAATACACTTACTCATTAAAACAATGAATTAACATCATCTTTCTATGTTGTTGTTGTTAAGTGCCATCAAGTCAGTTCCGACCCATAGTGACCCTGGTCTCTGTTCCTGCGGATGTGATTCTATTTGTGAACAGGGTCTTTTTTTTATGTTAATGAGGTCATCTTAGAATAGTTGGATCTTAAACCAATCACTTTCTGAGTTATAAAAAGAGCAGGATAGGCATAGAGATGCACAGGAGAAAGGTAGAGGCCAAGGAATGCCAAGGAGCTCACAGGGTTATTCCACAATGAGACCAATGACTTGGAACCACTGCACAGATTTGACTTCTAACCTCAAATACTGCAAGACAATACATTCCTGTTCTTTAAAACCATCCCCTTGTGGTTTTTGTATGTATATATATATAT